ACATGAAGTGTCTGAGAAATTGAAAAATTGTTATAGTCATTATGATTTCGGTTCATGCACAGCATGAAATATGTTATTGGCTAAGGAGCACTACCCCGGCGATCGAAGAGGGTTGGGTTGCACACTTTCTAAGCTTCAATGCAAACTCAAATCTTTTCAGCATCCACATTTTATTCTTGGAGGAATTTAAGGTCTTTACCATCGAAAGACCGAATCTCTTCCAAAACTGGAGATCATAATTGAAATTCTTCTAGAAGAAGAGCTGTTAGAATGACAACTTTTCCGGCTTACACTTGGAGCCCATATTGTGGCTACCACGTCCTCGGCTTCTAAGCAACTTAGGGCAATTACTGAAAATTAGAGTATTACTCTCTTATCTATTGAATCTATCAAAGGGATACAACGACACTTTCAAGTCCCTGTACCAAAAAACATACATCCTGTGTGAAGCCTTTCTAATACTATTACCTTTCCGATTGTAGAAAATGCAGTCAAGACCCTTGACAAACCCAGTAAAAACTTAAACAAAGTCAATGAAGAAAATGAAAATGAAACAAATGAGGACTCATCTGCCGATGAAAATTTCGGGGCACATGAGAAACCTCCTACTGAGGAACTCATGTTCCAAGCTGAACAGTTTAAGACAAGATTCGACGGTAGTCCTACTGCTATTGTCTAGGAGTCCTTAGACATTAATCTAGGAACTGAGAATGCAAGCGTGTATGATTTAAGTGATGTTTCAATTCACTTTTCTAAATAAAAAGAGATTTACAAATGGAGCAAAGCGAATGTGTTGCAAAAGTATATGTTTTTTTTGGGTAAAAAAATAAATATATTGCAACAGTATTTTATGACTGGTGTATTAAGAAAACCCCTTTAGTAATGAATGACGATGTGTCCAAAGTCTAGACGTCCTGTCTGCCTTCTTTCTCATGAGAGTGAGGGAACACTGAAGGTTCATAGAATAGGTCAACCTTTCTCTTTTCTAGGGTTTTTCACAGTCTCAATTACACAAGGAGAGGTATCCCAAAAAGCTAAAGGAGTGTATGTCCTTTGTCCTTTAATTTGCCTCACTTTAGACAGCGAAAAACTAGTGTACACCCGCAGGAGCATAATGACATTCACTGGGGAAAAACCCTATCTTCAGAGAGTGTGGTCTCTAGTGACTAGGGATAGGTCTGTGAAAAGTCTTGGAATTTTCTTTTGTTAGTATTGGAGGGGCTCTACAATTAATTTGTCATTATTTAGATTTGTCCTTAGGTAGATAAGATGGGTCCTGCATAACTGTGAAAGGAAGCATTCTTTGAGATTTTCCAAAACATGGAAAGTGATAACAAGGGTAGTGCACTGTTGATATTAATAAGGCTAGATGAATAAAACTTCCCTTTATATTTGACAGGAGTTTCCACCTACCAAAGAAGAATGAAATGAAGCTTCTTGGCATGCATGTGCAAGACTTGTTGGGCTACCTAAACTTGAGGCGGGTAGGGACTCTCGATTAAATGCTCCAAATTTTTGTTAGATAAATAATTAAATATTGACCTAGATTATTGTGATGGGTTTTTGAAATTAAAATCAAAAGAAATGGTAAAATGTCAAACAATTCATCTAGGTGCATTTTGATAAATTTCCTGTCGACCTTATAATGCTCCCTATGGAGCTCACATGCACTTACTCCCTCAGGCAAAAGCGGAACTTAGGAGGATTATTTGGATCAGAAATTTTGGGATCCACTTTACATTCAAGATGATTATAAAGGAAAAAATGTATTTTGATTTTCTAAACACAGACGGATTTGAGCGTCAAAAATTTGGACCATTTATATTGAATATTTGGTATTGATTGTTCGAAATGAGGTTAGTTTCTAGTTTGAAGTGGTTACATCTCTAAAATTTAAATTCTAGATAAAATTTTACTAGAGGGAATAAAACATGGTGGATATGCTCCTATGAGATTAGATTTGAGGTTTGGGTGTTAAGTGAAACTTGAGAGCTTAGAGTTCTGCAACATGTTTAAAATTGGATGATTTGTTACAAAGCATTAAAAATCATTCAAAATGAAAAACTGACATGAGGACGATTTCACTTTTAAGAGACTATCTTACGCATCATATAGGCATTACCTACATATTTTCAAGTAGGCGAGATAAGGACCCTCTACTCAAGGATCAGGGTTTGAATCTCTATATTTCAATCAAGAAATTGCTTCTAACTACTTTCTACATTGAAAAATTTAGAAAATGTGGTGAAAACATAGGTCTTGGGAGTCAACACCATGTTGAATCTACACCCATTGTTAAGCATGTGTTTGAATTTGATGAGCATCCCTCATATAAATGTTACGAACTTATTTTAGGGCAATTTATTGAGAATGTAGTAACTATTTAACACAGTTTCTATGAGCTCCCAACTCATATGTAGGAATGCTACCCCCCTTAATAATCTATTTTTGAAATAAACCCCAACTCATATGTAGAAATGCTTCCCCCCTTAATAATCTATTTTTGAAATAAACCTAGACTCTGATTTTTAAGGAATATACAATCCCTAAGATGTAAATCATTAATGTATAAAAAAATTTAAAACTAAAAATAATATTTTTAAAAGGAAATATATGAACCATTTATTTTAGGAAATATCTAAGCCATTGATTTTATCTTTTTCTTGAAGAGACCATTACTTGCATCCATCTTTAGATGGAGAGTTTATGCCTTGCCCCCCCCCCCCCTTCGCGGATGTAAAACCACGAAGACACGTAAATCATAGTAAGAATAGTTGGCATTTTGAATATATTTTGATAAACGAGTGAAATATTGAATGGTTGAAATTAAAGAAAAACCCCATTTTGTTTTCAAAATTTAAAAATATATTCCATATTATATGCTAAGTCTCGCCGTTTTAGAGTGCATAGCATATTTTAAATTTATTTATTTTTTTATATATCTGATTAAGCTCAAATTGGAGTTTTCCCAACTTTGGTTCATTAACATTTATTTGCAAACAAGGCCAAATCTGCCTACGATACCGTAACCAAAAACTCGGGCCGGACCTTTTGTAAACACTAGAAAAATTTTATTTAAAAAGGTCATAAGATATTTTGGGCTAGGTCTGGGCCGCGTTAGGTATACCTCGGGCCTGGCTCCAAAGTACGCTAGCTACCCCAAAACCCCACGGGCCGGCCCAGCCTACTAACACACCCAATGGTTTAAAAAACGGATCGGTGACCTGGATCGGACTTCCAAAAAATCGATCCGGATCGGCGAATCGGCGATTCGGATCGGGAATAGGGTGAATCGGTCAGAATAAAGCTTAAAAAAAATGCGAAAAAATTATTAAAATTCATTATAAATATTGTTTTTTAGGAATTCAATAAGAAATGAGGGTACTCCATTAAAAATTTTCATGGTTTTGAATGAATATGCGAATATTGATATGTTCTTTCCCTGCATGAATCGCCATTCAGCATTTAATTTACATCACACAAAAGGATAAACATATAATTATCATGGAATAAGTATATCAACATACATGGACTGCAATAAAGTATAAAATTAGTAACATATGATCTAAAAATAAAATGATAGACGACGTTATTGTTCTTCTTGGTCACGCTGGTGCCATTGATTGAATTCGTTTAACAATTCATTGATTCGATCTAAAAACGAATCATCGATATTAGCAGACATCTGACTAATCCCAAATCCATGAGTGTTAGTGTTTTATTGTGTTCCCAATCTAAAATCCTCGAAGATTGTCCATCCTATATGCTCACCTGCACTGTCGTGC